ATCCGTTCATTCATCCCGCTGCTATCCGTGTCCCTAAGTCCGTGCGGACACCCTACGCGCTGGGACCTGAAGATGCACAGAGGGAAGCACACGGGCCTGGCGCGGAGACAGGCGTGCTGGGGCCTGAGCTCTGCTGGGGCAGGCGGGAGGCTCCGGGGCTGACTCTTGAGCTCAGGTGGGCTGGGAAACACTCACCCAGGGAAGGGGGGCGGAAGAGGCGTTCCAGGAGGAACCCTCAGGGTGATCGGGGGCCAGAGGGCATGGCTGGAAAAGCGTGGGGAGGGCACAGCTGTGGAGGTGGCCTGATGGGGGTGCTCCTCCCGGCCTCCGGATGTTGTCCTGGGATACACACTCACAGCACCCAGGCGTCAATGACTCAGACCCGACCTCCGGGAGACCACACCAGCAAGTACCTGGTTCTTGCTACACAGCTCTGGCTGGGCATGTTACTTCCCCAGACACCTTCATGGGCAATGAATGGACTAACAATATAAAGCAGTACAGAACAGTATGGGACACATGGATAGATTAACAAATGTAGGGTGTGGGGAGGAGAGGCAGCTAGGGGAAGGAAGAAAAAATACCACCAAACCCTAGGAATTCAAACTAATTACTTGAAAGGCAGTTCAAATTTATAAAGTCTGAGTCAAAAAAATACCTGAAAAATTTCCTCTGAGTTCTCTAGCAGGTAAAGGGCGAGGCCCGGGCATTCGCGATGAGCAGGTGAGGACTCTGCTATCAGCACATCTGTCATTTTCAACTTCAGAGTGGGGTCGAAGGACTGGGGGGTTGTGAATAAGCCATGTGACCTGACAGCTCTTACTTTCCTTGTCAGTAAAACAGGGTTTGGACAATGTGGTCCCCGTGGCACGTTCTAGCTCTAAAAAACGTCTTCGAGTCTGTCCCCAGAGGAGGCCTCTGAAGCGCCAGACAGGTTTGCTCCCTGAACCAGGAACCTCTGCCCTTCTCCCTGGGACCTCATCTGGCGGATCCGTTCGCCCAGCTCTTGTCCCAGAAGGTGGGAGAAAGCTAACTTTCTGCCAGGTGTCTGCCTGAGGAGATGACTAATTCTCATTTCATGGGCCTCAAATGAACTATTTCCAAATTTTGAATTTATGTGTCCCAGTGAATGAGGTTTGACCACATTCTAATATATCTTGGCGTCTGCGAGAAGAAATATTAGTGACGTTAGCCTGAAGAGGTGTTTGCGAGACACACGTGCCCTCCCTGGGGTTCTGTGCACGCTGACGCGCTCTGCCCGCAGGGCAAGGCCCCTCTGTGACGCGCGGCCCGTGGGGGACGCCTCCAGCCAGACGCCTGCCGGGGACCCACTCGCAGCTCAGCGCACCGTCCAAAAACGTCTTATGGTTTGTTTAAACTTGGAAGAAAACCTCCAGTGAATCATCTCGTGTGCTATTTGATTCATGTTTAATGTCTCTGGGAAAAAATAAAAACAGTAAATCCTTCTCACTAAAACAGCATCAGCCCGCGGAGACACTGCGCACAGGCATGGACTGCCAGCGCCGTGGTGGCCCCAGGGCTACAGTCCGGAGCTGTGGTCAGAGAGCACGTTTATGATCAGGAGTGGGGACGGCTCACACGAGCAGGCCTTTGCCACCTTTATTCTTTAGATCACAGCAGCAGAAGCCACACGTTCTGCAGGAGAGTTGGGGCAACGCGCCCAGCCCATGTACAGATTCCCCGGTCCTCAGCACACTAACTGAGCACCTGCTAAGTGTCGGGGAGACACAGATGTATCATGTAAGACACCCTCAAAGCGCTCATGGGCTGATCGGGAAGGCGGGGCCTTCCTTCTTTCCTTCTCCACCCGATTCAGGGCCTGCTGAGCCAGGCACGGAGCCCGGGTGCTGGTGGCAGAGGGAGGTGGCGCTCCAGGACGAACCGACAGACTCGGGTCCTCGAGGTTCCAGGCTGGGCCCAGTCCTTTCCTGACCTTTTCCCCAAGGACACAGAGCTGGGTTCCATTTACGCAGGGTGCGGCTAGGAATAATCCCACAGCCAATTATTAACACGGCACCTGAAACACAGGAAGTGCACAGTAATTGTCTGATGGGAGGAAGGAAGGAAGTCAGGGAGGGAGGGAGAGAGGAGGTCTGGCGACGTGGCCGCTCCTTCCAGACAACCTCCAAATCCTCTGCGGATCTCTGGCCCGCGGAGCACGGTCCCTGCACTCTCTGAGAGCCACCTTCAGTGCCCGCACACGTCTCTGAATTTTCCATCAGACGCTTTCAGATACTCTAACTTCCATGAAAGAGCCAGTTTGCTGGGGACCCTCCGAGGGCCTGGGAACAGCCAACAGAGCAAATATTTGCTAAGATCTTCTATGATCCCAGTGATCACTTCTAAGCTAACAATTTGCACTTGGGGTCTGACAAGTCCAAGAAATGTTCAAGGGGTCAACAGGAGAGAAAATGTGAAACCTGGGCTGTCCCAGAAAGTCCGGGCCATGGGCCTGGGGTGGTCTGGACCCCTCAGGAAGCGGGGGAAAGGAGGATGGTGTGGACTCCACCTGAAGAGGCCAGTGATGTGGGATGGGGGGCAGCCGGGGTGGGGGCTCGGACCTGGCTCACAGGCCCCGCCCGGGCGCCGACAGGCAGCGAGGTCTGGACAGCATCGTGGCGAAGCCTCCCGTGCGGCACTGAGCAGAGACCACTTAGGCCGCCCTTCCCTCTACCTCCGCCTCTCATCCCCCGACCCGGCGGGGAGCCCGGCTGGGTCTTGCTCAGGTGGGATCTGGACGCAGCACCTCACACAGAACCGGACCCGGAGCAGATACTCAGGGGGGCCGACGGGCCGGGATGCCTCGCCAGGTGCCTGCAGCCCTGCAGCGGAGCCAGGATGACGGCCCAAACCCTCCACTGGCTCCACGGTGACGAGAACCCAGGCCAAGTCGTGCTTGCCCACAGCAGGGGTGTGTGTGTGTCTGTGTGTGCGTGCGTGTGTGTGTGAGCGTGTACATGAGATCTGCACCCCAGGGCTGGGGGCTGGAGGGGACGACCACAGGAAGTGACACTGCAAAGTTGTGCCAAGTCACCCTAAAAATAGCCCTCAACGTACAACACAGGAGGGTCTTCCCTTCCCGGTGCCCTGCCCACAAGTTCAAGTGTGCACACAGGGGCCGTTTCAGGAAGCCAGTGCAGGCGGCTCCCGGAGATGCCCGCCTGGGACCTGCCACGCGCCAGCGCCCAGAGGGGAGGCCAGCCTGGCCATGCTCCCCTGCCTCCTCTCTGCAGAACCCCAAATCTCCACGCCCTGTTGGCCCAACATCTTCCAGAAGAACGGTTGGCTACACGAATCCCTAGGAACAACAATTATCTTTTAGACCCGTGAGAGGAGGTCACTATTGAAGGACCCAGCGGGTCCGTCGCACCATGGGATTCTGGCTACACTGAAATGACGCTCACACCTGTTCTCCTCACTGGTCTGTGTTGCAAGTGTCAGGCCGCTTGGGGGTGACCTACGCTCCCCCCACCTTTCTGAGCAGTCTGGCTCGTCCCCTCCTCCTCACCCCCTCCCTGCTCACCCCCTCCGGCCATATTAATCTTCTGGCTGCTCCGCGGTGCCACGGGCATTCTCCTGCCACAGGCCCTTTGCACTGGCAGCTCTTCAGACACAAACGCGCTCGCTCCCTCGCCTCCCACATGGCACTAAGCAGAGACCAAGTCACATCCCAGTGAGGCCTTCCCTGGCTTCTGTACCCCAAACTGAAGCCCTGACACACATTGTTTTATCCCCCTTTCCGGCTGGGTTTCTCCTCTACATTATGTATCATTGAGTTCATCATTTGTCTTCCCTCTCCTAGAGCACAAAGTCCTTGGGGCCAAGCTTTATTCAGGTCTGTTCGCCATTGGAAGCCCAGAGCCTGGAAACTTGTCCAGCCAGAGCTGTGCTCAGCAAATACACATCGAGTGACCAAATGCAGGATAGTCTGGGGACGGGGAGAGGGAAGCTGCGGGGAGGCTGGGACCATGGCCTTAGCACGCAGGTGCTGCTTCTCCATCGCCAAGCCAGGAGGAGAGAGGAGGGTCCTCCCCCCGCCATCACCTGCCCCACCACGTCCACGGCCACGATGAGCACATGTCAGAAAGACCCTCCTGACCCCGGAGTCCCTCCAGTCCCGGTGGTGGTGGAGGCCGCTCCAGAGCACCTGCTGCGTGTGCACTGAAACACTCGGGCCCAGGACGGGACACGCAGGACCTCCTCCCGCACCCTCGCCCACCCCCTCCGCAGGCCCAGCATCTTGACACGGCTGCCAGCCTGGGCCAGCTGCGTCTGTGCTCAGTGCTGACCGTGGGCCTTGGGCTGGGACAGCTGCATGCAGGTGACATCCCAGTAGCACAGAGCAGATGTCACCCCCCACTTTCCAGCTCCAGCAGGGCTGGTGGGAGGAGACCAAGTGAGTAAAAGCAGCACCTTCCACACGCAGCTGTGTCTGTTTTCTTGGGAGGGGAGAAACCAAAGACCCCCTTGTGAACCTGCGCCCCGAGGCACAGGCCCCTGCCTGGGTGTCTCCTCCCAACCCGGAGATCACTTTGACAAGGGTGAGGAAGGGACAAGACGGTGGGAAACCGCCCTCCCTCAGGAAGAGCGAGGCAGGAACACCACCCCACCCACAGGATGCAGACTTCCCCGGGCCGAGGGCGAGGAGGGCCGGCCAGCGGGCAGGGAGCGCGCTGCCCTGGAATGCCGTGTGCCTGCTGGTGCCCAGCGGGAAAGCCACCACGGCCGGGGCCTGCTCAGGGACTTGCATCTGCCAGGACCACAGACGCAGCCAGCCACTGCATCTGCCCTCAGGCAGATACGTACACTGTCCTCGGGGCGCTGTGCGGGCTGCCCCCCCCCCACAGTCTTCCCTGCTCTTCCCACTGACCTGGTGCAGTCCCCACACACGGGCTGGACCCCACAGTGCAGCAGAAGCTGCCCCCTTCCCCCTGGGTCCTTACCCGCCTCGGGCCAGTTAGCCTCCAGGAGTCACTTACCCGAGACCAAGCGGAGGCCAAGACGGAGCGGGTCAGAACCTCCAGGGACTGGTTCCACGTCCTTGACCAGGCCACTAGACCATGCCCCTGGAAGAGAGGACCGACAGGTCATGCGGGTGTGGACACCCCTGGCCCAGAGCCCATCGCTTTTCCCTCTTGTTGCTGCCGCTGTGCTTGGCGGGGGGACCACAGCTTTTGCAAGCTCCACACTAAACAGTGAAAACACCCCTTCCCCGGCCCCTGTCCAGCCATCATGGGCAGTGGCACCTGCTCCCGGAAGGAGGGGCATCCCCAACAACACCGACAAGGAAGCCTCCAGGGAGACGCTGGCCACCCCTCAGGTGGGGGCGCCAGTTATCACGCAGCGGCTCGGAAGCTAAGTGTGGCCGTGGCCTCTGCGGCCTGCAAACTGGTTTGGACCCTGACAGCATCACTCCAGGCCACCAGAGACACAGCCTGTGTCTCTCCCCAGCACAATGTGCCCTGCGGGGCTACGTGCTGGTTCGGTGGAACTGTGCACACCCAGCCCCGGCCCGGGCCGGCCCCTTCAGGTCCCTCCAACCCCCACAGCTCCCTTGTTTCTTGGCAGGCGCCCCCAGGGTGGCCCTCACCATCCCGGCCTCCTCCTGGGGGGGACTCCCTGGCCCAGTGCAGGGCACGTGTTAGTGCTCGAAAAAAGGTCAGAAAGCATCTCCTGACATTCAGTCACAAAACCACTCGGTCACTGAGAAGGGAAACTCTGGCTGTCTGTCGTGTGCCAGGTACCCGACCACTCCCCACCGTCACCCCTCCCACCAGCTCTGACACAGGCGTTCCAAACGCCCTCCGCGTGGGGCGAACTCGAATGGGCCCACCTCCCCCGTCTCTGCCCACCCACGTCCAGGCACAGACTGGTGACCGCCTCTCTGTGCCCCTGCAGCCTCTAGTACACAATGTGTAATAGTAGTACCGTGGCTAACATCGCCACACCGCCGCTGCGTGGCTAACAGCTTTCCCTGCATTTGTTTGCATAATCCAATTTCATCCTCACAACAGCCCTAGGCATAATTATTATCCCCATTTTACATATGGGGAAAAACTGAGGCTTAGAGAAGCTAATTACTTGCCCAAGGTCATTATTCTTCCAGGGAGCAAAGCCAGGATGGAACAAGAACAGTCTCTTCCCGAGAGCCCGTTTCTCTTCCTCGTCTACAGCACACTTCCCGGTTATTTTCTCCTGACATGCAGTTCTCCTCCTCCATGGCAACGATCACGTTTCTGTACACTCACTGCACTGAGAAGCCTGTCCACCTGGAGCGTGCCGGGGGGCTCCCCTCGCTCTTGCAGAATGGGGGCTGTCTCCCCTCCTCCCACCCACCCAGCTGACACGAGCACCGCAAGGTCAGGCACGTGTCCACTTCATCTCTGTGCATCTAGTGCCTAGTCCAGCGCCTGTATACAGCAGGCACTCAATAAGTAATCACTGTTTGACAAATGAATGCCCCAGAATGCATCACATGGACATTATCGGAAGCAAGGTGTATCTTGCTCAGAGTTAAAGTTCTACCCTGTTTCCCTAATATAGAATTTTATAGGCCAACTATGGAATGCAAACCCACTGCTGGAATTCAAGACCTGGAGGAGAAAAGTCATGTACCTTCCCACCGAAACTCTCACTGGGAGACCACTGTGCTTTTAGATAGTATCATATAGATATGTACCATTTTTATACACACACATATATTTAATAGACTACATTTTAGGGAAGTTTTAGGGTCAGAGCGAAATTGAGTGGAAAGTACAGAAAGTTCCCATATACCCCACCCCCCCAGCTTCCGCCATTGTCAACATCCCGCACCAGAGGGGGACATTTGTTACAACTGATGAACCTACATTGACACGGCATTCTCCCCCAATGCCCACAGTTTACACTGGCGTTCACTCGTGGTGGTGTACCGCTTACACACTGTGCGGATGGATGACGTACATTATGTACAAACACTACCTTCTGCGCGCTATGCAGACGCGTAGTGACCCGTACCCACCACTGCACTTTCACACAGAGCAGTCACTGCCCTAAAAATCCACCGTGCTCCACCTTGTCTCGAGGCACTTTCAAGGTGATGATCCCAGCTAAGTCACCTCACAGCTGTGAGCCCTGCTCTGACGCTGGAGGAATCAAGACCTGGATAGGGTCAGGGGCCCTCCACACGGTCAAGGAGAAAACCAGTAATGGAGCCAGCAGCAGAATGAACTAGGTCCTCAGTTCATCATCCCACCCTCCCAACTGCCGCAGAGAGCTCATGGCCACCCTCAGTTTACAGAGGAGGAAAGGGACTCCGGGACACTAGCCCAGGTCACACCTGGCTAAGCGGGACGCTGGACGCCCAAAACACAAATCCCCAAATCCATGCTCTGTCCTTTCCAGCTGCTCTCATTAATTAAAGGGGCCTTTAAGAGGCCATGCAAGGAGGTAAGCAAGTACCCTCTCAGGTCGGGGGGGCCTCTGTGTTCCCCATGCCAGAGCAGGTGAACACCCCGTCTGCTGGGCCTCTCGGCAGGAATACCCTCCCAGCACACCGCACCATTAGCACCACGGGGCCTCTCCTGGCTGCAGGTTCATCGCTGTCCAGCTACAGAGGCCACACCATCTCCAGCCTTGTGGGCCAGCCCTGCATGACCGACCTGCTCAGTGACTGGCTCCACTAAAGCACCTTCCATCTGTCCGTCCCACTGACAGGCGCGCCAGCCCATGGGGAGGGTGCTGGGTGGTGGGGAGGGCAGAGGGAAGTTCTGGTCCAGGCTTGCCTCTGCAGCTGAGTGACCTTGGCACACCCTGTGACCTCTGCCATTCTCGGTTTCCCCATCTGTGATAAAGCAGGTGGGCTGGATGCCTGCAGAGGAGGCCAGGCCAGCTCTGACACCAGGCTTCCTAGCAGGAGGAGGGTCCGCTGTTCCGGAGACCTTGAAGACGCTGGCTCCCAGGCTGCTTGGGAACACTCCATTAACTTGAATTGCAAATTTCCTCCTGGCTCTATCGCTAAGCCACAGGGGCTCCCTGGCCACCAGCTTTCCAGTGACGGATAAAGATTATAGTCATTGCTCGAGACAGAATCAAGTAGCAGAAGTCATTACGCAGAAATAATTACGTTGAGTTATGTCTGGCCGCTCTTGATTTCTGTCTAGTGATTGTCTTACAAATTGTCATT